AATACCTATGTAATGTGACGTCATATCATCATCCCGGTTATGAATTAATATGAATTTTTATAACGTTAGTCTACAGGAAATAAAAAAAGGTAACATTTTAATCTATACATGTAAGAATCTTACGAATATAAGTGACCATTTTATGAAAGGTATTGACAAGTTTTATTAACGAAATAACTTATTTATGAACAAATACAATAATTTATGAATAAAAATAATGTTTTAAAATGTAGGTTTAGACAAACAAAAAGAGAATAGTTAAATCAATATGGATAAAAATTTTATAAACAAAAGTAATCATTTAAAAAATAAAGGTAACATATTATGTACAATAAATAATATTTTATGAACGATCGTAACTTATTATGTATGACAAATAACAATATTATAAAAAAACAATAAACAATTTCATAGCATAGAATTCAGAAAAATCAAATGTAACAATTTAATAAACAAATGCAACAATTTAATGAACAAAGACAATATTTTTTGAATAAAAACATAAACAACAACTCTGTTTTCTTTTTATCCTCCATTCTCAACCACTACATCTCCTCACCATTTATCTCTCTTCCTTTCTCCTATCCTCACCTCCCTTAACAATTTTATAAATGAAAACGCTAAAAATAGTAACTTTTTTGCTTACTTAACTACTTTTTATTTGCCACATAACGTAGGCATTAAATATATTTTTTTCCTTTTTTCTTTTAAACAAAGTCAAGGCTAAAGTATTAAGTGTGATATTACTAGTCCATAAAATAAAAAGTAGTGAAGAAAAGATTGGAGGAGTAGAGGCGATGGAGAGAAAGAGGGACCACAGAAGAGTGGGAAGAGGTGGGCAGGGGGAGGAAAGGTCGAGGCGAGGATGATAAAGAACGAAAAAGAAGAAAGATGTGGAGGAGGGGCAGTGATATTGAGAGAGGCAACGACAGAGGTGAAGGCGGCGGTGGAAGAGAACAATGAGAGAGGAAAAGAGAGGCAAGAGAGGTCGAAGGTTAGAGAATGGGAGAGAGATGAGAGGTTGAATATGATAGAAGAGAAGAGAGATGAGAGGGTGAAAATGAAAGAAGAGGAGAGAGATTAGAGGGGAGAGATGAGAGAGGTTCATTGGTTCATGGAGAACTGAGAAGGAAAAAAGAGGGAAAAAAGGAGGGAAGAAAATGAGGAAGGAAAGGACATTTTTGAATACATAAAAAAGTTACATGGGTTAAGGGGTCTTTTGAAATGTTTCTTGCGTCAAATGCTATTATAGTTAGCGCAATAAGGCTGGAGGGTTTCTTGATTGGATTCTTAAAAGCAAGACTCTCAATGTAATTTTCCCATTAAATAATCAACGAACCAAACTGTATCACGGTTACGAGAAGAACAAGAGATAGATCAATCTTTCGTCATGAAGTGGAGCTTGAGAAGGATGATGAGCTAAGGTTTATTTACGATGTTTTCCTAGTAAATTAGATATTCAAATTTGTTTTAGATCTACATTACATGTGATATGCAAATCCATATGTTTGGGTACAAACAATATAAGTTCAAATTAGGAAAACTCCAATGTTATACAAAATCAAAGAATTTGAAAGTGCTGCTAAATGTAGAGACCTCACATTTCAAAGTTATGAGATTTCAAGATCAGATAAAAGAATGTCCAGAAAAGCAACAGAATAGAAGCATCCAGATCCTTATCGGAGCGACTTAGGACTGTAATAGTATATTCCTTCAAGCATCTATAATTTTTCCTTCTGTTTAACCAAAAGTAAAGCAATGTCGTAATGTAATAAAGAAACCAACATCCCAGATAAGAAGTGTAAAAGGTTGCTTGTTGTTTTAAGATTATCAAGATAAAAGTCGGTTATCATAAAATAGATGGTCAGGTCTGCCCTATCAAGAATAGCGATGAAAATTTGGCATCCCATAAAAACAGCATAATAAAATAAATCCCAACAACACTAAGTGTGGGATAATGTTGGACTAGGGTCAGATCCTACAATAGTCACTTGCAAGTCTAATTTAAATATTGAAGATTGACTGCTAAATCGCCACCCACCAGAACAATTGTTTCTCCTAATGCATATTCTGCAATAGCTCTTGCAATGAAAGGGGACAAAAAAAATCTTAGCCTTGCAATTAGGATAGACACACACTAAAGGGAAGAGCAAGAAAGGAAACCTACAAAGACAAGCAATGAAAACCTTAATCTCTCAACCAACAATGCATCTGTTAAAGTAATTACAGATCAGATGAATTAAAGCAATCTAAGTGAAACGTTTGCAATTCACACTTCTCATTGAAGGCAAATGATTTTAGATATTGATGCAGGTAACAAACATTACTGAGAGATTGTCAAGGATGTAAACTTTCCTTCATCCTCAGAAGATAAGAAAAGAAAAGATAGTCAGCTCTGGTAAATCTCTTTTCAGTATGGTATTACACAGCCAGGATTCATACAAAATAGAAAGATCCAGTCGCCAATTACTTCATCAAATTCCCTTGTTATGGCATGGATGCAAACAGTACTGCCATGACATATCAAGTGATATGAGTGAGGGACTTTTAACAGGAGAATGATTCTGACTGCAACAATGTCATTCAGGAGGCTCGGGTAGATAAATGTTTGGACATGAAAGGAGATTGAATCTTTCCACAGGAACTGAAGCGAAGTTCAAACCTTTTCTATTTTAAAAGCAACCAGCCACCGAAGGGGACACATTCAAGAGGAAAAGGATGGAGGCTAAGTCTACCAAGGAACAGGGCCAGACTCAAACTGCACTAAGTCCTGATTATGATCCCAATCCATTTAATCTCATCCAATCAATAAATGACGCGAATAACGAAAATAAGGGATCCGGTCACATTAAATCTGTTTGACTAATGCATTCATGAATTTAATATAGTGTATAGAAATGTTTTACAAAGCTCACTAGTCACTCCAGTGCTTGTTTCACTGTGCTTTGAAGCATAGCATTCATAATTTGACACATAGCCTATAGGGTAAAGCTATAAGTTATTAAGCTTAATGATACTTTCCATTAAGATGGGGTCGGAACTGTACACATAGCACATTCCCTGAAATCCGAATCCGGAATCTCAAAAAATTATCTGCAGCTCCAATACTCTATGATGTCCTATGAATTATATAAAAATAGAATCTAGATCCAAATCCAAGGGATGCTGTCTAAGATCATATAATACCAAAATATTCCAGAGTATTCATATAGTACATAAAGAATTTTAAGAAATAACAAGCCTATAAGCTAATAAAAATTATAAAAACCTGAAGTACCAAATTCAAATATAATCATTAATTCATAGATTAAGTAGTACATAAAAAACATTGTATATTAAATATATTCGGAGTGAACTAAATAAAGCAGATGACAAAATATGCATAAGCTTACAAGTCGATAGTAAATGGAGAGCACATTACATAGTGCAGATAGTTATTACTTCTTGCATTTGCTTAAAAGGCTGCACATACAAAGGATTATAAATATCCATTTACGCTCCTGCTTGAAGCTTACACTATTGTTAATCATGCATTGAAGTGTACACCTCAGAAAGTCAGTATAAAGATTTTCCTAATTTTGTGTCGTCTGTATGGGTCCATCTTTTCACATAACTTAGCAGGATCTCCATCAATTGAAGCTACTGACAAAACCACCTCCAAGCAGTTACTGGAATATTCAATTTATTATCTAGTACTCCTCCATTCATACTGAGGCTTCTATTACTCCTATTTCTCCAATATTGGCAGCACTAATCACACATGAACTTCCTTTGCAGAAATTCCTCTTCTATTTGTTTGTCACGTAAATTAGATATGCAGTAAATATTCCTTTTTAAAATATTAAAACTGTTTACACCAAAATCATTACTACTGCTAAAATTATTACTCCTCCTCCTCCAAACACAGGAAGCATTGGCTTTTCTTTTTATGCTTATTCATTGATTTAATTAATGGTCGCCCATTACATTTTTTTCAAACACTGTTGTATAGTATCACCGGCATCCAGGAAGAAACCAATGTTTGTCCTGCAGTCTAATAAATTACATAACAATAATGAAGTTCTTTGTTTGTGTACCTAAAATTTAATTACTTTAATTGGAATCTTTTGTACCCAAAATTTCAAGAAACAAGCAAAAATCTTCATTGAGATTAAGCAGCACAATGCAAGTAAACTCTAATTTTCAATTTTAGACAAAAACAAATTAAAGAAATTACTGCATTGTGAATGGTTTATAGATCCAAGAACAACATAGGTTCAGATTTCAGTCCATAAATTTGAAATACCTGCTTCTTTATCAGAGTGTGGATCTAGGGGGATCTGATCCCGTCTCAGCCTATTCATAGCTGAAGACAGCAATACCTTTAAAAGCCAGACATTTTGCGCAGACAACTAGATGGACACAGTTGAAGAGGATAACTCCAACTCTGCAGTTTGCAGGATCTTCAAATTCCAGCCACGAGATGTGAACTATTGACAGAGAGGTCCCGGCAGTCCCTTCTTGTCAGTGCCTCAGAACCTTGCACCTTGCCTTGATAGATGAGCAAGGCAAAGCATCCAGGTTGAAGATTTAATATGTCACTTTGGAGGAGGTAATCTCCTCTCTTTGCCCAAGTCTGAGGGACTAGTAGTGTTCTCGGTCTAATAGTAGTGCTCTCGGCAAGACAAAAGTTTAGCAGCTAAATCAATATTCTCTATCTATTTATATGTAACCTCTATATAGCCTATCAAAGCTAAAAGCTCATCTTTAGAAGACAGAGGGAAAAGAAACACAGGAGTCTCAGACTCTCAGTTACCAAGGAAAAAGCATATTTACTAGCGCTGTAAAGAAACAGGATATGAATCAACTTGAAGGTTCAGCTTCTCTACTATCCTGAATTCCTCAAACAAAGGTCTATTTTATGCATCAAAAGCACTACTAAGGAATACCACAACATGTTACTTCCTTACTAGATCAATTAGAACGAGGACGTTAGAATCAATAGTTGCGAATACAATTACCATCATCCTCTCCGTCAATTTGGTGGTTAAAGAGTGTTTTATCCACTCTTGGAAGGTTGATCAGGAAAACCAGCTTTTAGACATAGACTGATTGAGTTTAAGAATCAAGTGCCCGCACAGTGTGTCATGTTAGAACCAAATGTCCAAGTTCCAGGCAAGTACCCTGGAAATATGTGAAGTTGTGAATGAGCAACGATCAAATCCATAACAACAACAAATCTTGAAGAAATAGATAGCAGAAAAGAATAACGTAAAAAAGAACACTCAGCGATCTTCACAAGGGAGCTGTGTGAATAAAGATGAACTATGTTCTTACCCTATTGACATAATTCAAAGACAACATTATGTAAATAGATTTGTTAGTTATGGTTACTTTCAAGTTTCAATAGAATAAGTATACATGACGTCTTCATACAAATGGTTTACACTGCAAATAAGTAATTCATACCTTTGTAGGATCATCCCTCCCAGCAACCATCAAATCCTCATACTTTCCAGTGCAGCATTATAACCATATTTGGGGCTGTAGTTGGACAGCACCTAAAGAAACGATCAAGTAGTCAACGCCACTAGCTAGAATGATCAATGAACAAAGAAAATATGTTTTGACAGAAAAGAAAAACTTACCCTGTCAGTAACAACACTTCCATCAACTCCAGCGGCATCCTTCGCAATCAGTTTCAATTGATAGCCCAAGGCCCTTTCGACAATATCTGCTTCTACCTATATGTTTTTCGAAAACAGAAAGAAGAGTCATTGTCACCATTCTATTTTATTTGTGATGATTAAAAGAAGATACTGAAGGAAGTGACCAAAATGAAGTTTAGCTAGTGAGGAATAATCCCCCCACCTCCCAATCTAAGGCAATGAGGCAAAATCTTAGATCCCATATGCAGGAAACACAGTCGTATCTATCACCTTTTGCTAATCATTCTCCGGAGTTTCCTTGATGGAATCAACCTTCGACATGAGCCTCAAAAGGGTACAATGACAGCCCACAACAATACCCACCTCGACAGCAGCTAGTTCATAAATGCCAACAAGTATCTGCTAGTAATATGCAAGACTGTCACTTAACACTATCCCCCCACACTCCCAACCCTAAGACACCAACACACACCCACACCCACACACCAAACAAAAAATGACAACAGACCTAAGTTTCTCACTCAGAGTGTTTTTTTTGTGTGATAATATTTATATTGCAAGATTTTATAAGCAGGAATATAGTTCCAACTTCATCCTTGACAGTAATTTTTTAGAAATAAAAGGAATCAAAACTCAGGTCATAAACAATCACGCTTCCCGTTCCTGCTACACCTGCATGCATTACACATAGAAAGCGAGAGAATGGAAAGTGACCTCCCAGAAAATTTACCTTCGCAGCACTCAATGCATCTTCCACTCTCAGCTTCCTCTCTTTTAACTCAATCACTGTTTGTACTCCAACCTGAGAAAATTTTAGTATTCCAAAAAAGAATCCAATACATCTATTATAAGTTACAACCTAATTGTTAGATATATTTTCAGGCAAATGATCAAACCTTAATAACAGCAACACCACCAGAGAGCTTCGCTATTCTTGTTGAATGATCAAAAACCCTAATCAATTGAGTCATTAAGATAGTTAAGAATACATATATATATATATGCATACAAGGAGGAGTATGGTTAACGGGTCACAGCCCATTAACCCAATACCCAATAAACTTATTCTAACACTCCCCCTCAAGCTGGAGCATAGATATCCATCATGCCCAGCTTGTCACATATAGTAGAAAACACATTTGAAGAAGTAGCCTTGGTAAGAATATCAGCAAGTTGTTGTGAGGATGGAGTGAATATGAGAGACACTATCTTCTTCTCCCAAGCATCTCTAACAAAATTACAGTCAACTTTAATATGTTTTGTCCTTTCATGAAACACAGGATTCTGTGCAATATAAATGGCAGACTGGTTGTCACAATGCATTGGCATGGGTCCAGGCTGATCAAAACCAAGTTCTGTCATAAACTTTCGTAGCCAAACCATCTCACAAGCAGTGTGAGCCATTGCTCTATATTCGGCTTCTGCACTAGACCGTGATACTACATCTTGTTTTTTACTTCTCCAAGTCACAAGATTACCTCCAACAAACGTACAGAATCCTGAGGTTGACTTTCGGTCTCCCATATCTCCTGCGTAGCCAGCATCAGAGAAAGCAGAAATGTGAGTATATGCCCATGCTTCTTATATAGCAATCCCTTACCAGGACAACTCTTGACATATGCCAAACTCTTTAGAGCAGCTGTCCAATGAACCTCTCTAGGTTTGTGCATAAATCTGCTCAGTACACCTACTGCAAATGTAATATCAGGTCTGGTAACTGTTAAATAGATTAGCTTCCCAATCAGTCTCCTATATCGTCCAGCATCATCTAGTAAAGAAGTATCATCACGCCACAAATCAACATTTGCCTCCATTGGAGTGCTTGCAGATTTGCATCCCAAGAGATCTGTTTCTTCTAATAAATCTAGCACATACTTCCTTTGGGATAACAACAGGCCATGCTTTTGATATGCAACTTCAATCCCAAGAAAATACTTGGGCTTTCCCATGTCCTTGGTGATAAAATGACGGTTTAGATACTCCTTAGTTTCTGCTAAGGCAACAGAATCACTCCCAGTCAGTAGAATATCATCAACATATATAACCAAACCAGTTGTGCGTCGAAGAAAGACAGAGTGATCAGACTGGCAACGTTGGAAACCAACACTAGAAATAACATTGCTGAATTTATCAAACCAAGCTCGTGGACTTTGTTTTAACCCATAAATGGCCTTCCTCAGCCTGCAGATAATATTCTCCCCCTGAGCAACATACCCAGGAGGTTGCTCCATATAAACCTCCTCGTCCAAATCACCATAAAGGAAAGCATTCTTCACATCTAGTTGGTGCATCGCCCAATCCATATTAACAGCTAAAGAGAAAAGAATTCTGATGGAGTTGAGACGCGCAACAGGAGAAAAAGTCTCAAAATAGTCGATGCCATATGTCTGAGTATAACCTTTAGCAACCAGGCGAGCTTTATATCGGTCAACAGATCCATCAGGACGATATTTCAATGTGTACACCCATCTGCAACCAACCACAGTCGCTCCAGTAGGAAGAGAGACCAAATCCCAAGTCCCTCTAGAAAGCAGTGCATTCATCTCCTCATCCATAGCCTGCTTCCAGGCTGGTACTAACATAGCTTCCTCATGTGACCTGGGTATAGATACAGTGGACAAGGACAATGCAAACTGACGAAAGGATGGGGTGAGACGAGATGGTAGAGGTACCTGTGGACTGACAGAGGTAGTGGAACCAGAAGAAAAGTATGGGACAGACTCAAAGAAGGTAACATCAGCAGAAACAAAATATCTCCTGGTGTTTGGATGATAGCACCTATACCCTTTTTGAGTACGTGAGTATCCAACAAAAGCACACTTAATGGATCTAGAAGACAATTTATCCAAACCAGGTGTCAAATCCTGAACAAAACACGTACAACCAAAAACTCGAGGAATCACAGAAAAACATTTTTTAGCAGGATAAAGACAGTGGAATGGTATCAAACCATCAAGAACAGAGGAAGGCATGCGATTAATCAAATAACAGGCAGTTAGAACAGCATCAGACCACAAATACTTTGGAATATTCATATGTATCATCATTGTTCTAGCAACATCTAGAATATGTCTATGCTTTCTCTCAGCAACTCCATTTTGTTGTGAAGTGTGAGAACATGAAGTCTGATGAATAATACCATTAAGTGCACAAAATTTTGTAACATCATTTTTCATATATTCCAAAGCGTTATCAGTACGAAGAATACGAACAGAAGTAGAGAACTGGGTTTTTATTTCATTATGAAAAAGTTCAATAACATTCGAGACCTCAGACCTCTCTTTTAACAAATATAACCAAGTCATGCGAGAGAAATCATCAACAAAGACAATGAAATATCGAAAACCTTTCACAGAGGAAACACGGTAAGGACCCCAAACATCGGAATGAATCAACTCAAACGCAACACTACTGCGTTTATTGACACGACTCTGAAAAGTAACACGATGGTGCTTACCCAGTTCACACGACTCACAACCTAATGAAGAAACAGAAGGCTGAATAGAAACTACCGATCTAAGCTTTTGCAGTGAAGGATGACCTAGACGCCAGTGCCACAGTAAGGTAGAGTCAGGCTGTGATGCAACAAGACCAGTATCTGACACACTATCGTCCAAATAGTACATATCTCCTCTCTCATGCCCCGAACCAATCGTCATCCCAGTTGCTAGGTCCTGAAAAACACAATAAGAGGGAAAGAAGGTGACTTTACAGTTATTGTGCTTTGTAAACTTGCTAATGGATAATAAGCTAACAGGAAATTTAAGAACATATAACACATCAGATAGTTTCAAAGAGGAAGTAGCATGAACTACTCCATCACCATGAACTGGAGAAAGAGTACCATCAGCAATGCGGATAGAGGGAAACTTATTAGAAAGATGTAAAGATACAAAGTGATCCTTTATACCTGTCATATGGGATGAGGCTCCAGAATCTAATACCCAGGATTTGTGAGGAGAAGCTATATAAGCATCCATACCTGAAGAGGATGCATGAGTAGCAGAATGACTGTTCTGAGAGAGCTCTAGCTGGCGTAATCGCTCATAATCTGCCTGAGAAATCTGAACAGTGGTAGCAGTAGCAGCTGGACCACCAGAAGTAGTAGCAGAAATAGACGAGCGAGTCGACTCGGCGTCAGCGACCTGAGCCCACTGAGAACGACCAAACTTTTCCTAGCACTTCTCAGAAACATGATTGGTCCTCCCACAGTGACTACACTGACGTGAGCCCCTATCAGAATCATCATGTCTCCCACTAAAGGAACCACGTCCTCCCCCTGAATCACGACCACGACCGCGACCACGACCGCGGCCTCTGCCTCGACTAGAGAACATGGCAGACTGATGAACTGAAGGTGGAGACGGTGCAGTGGTAGAAGTAACACCAGCAGAGACCTGCATAACTCTGGAGAATGTAGCAGTTAGTGAAGGAATGATATCTCCACCCAATATCTGTCCCCTCACCTGGGACTGTAAGGTAGGGTGCAATCCAGAAAGAAACTTGGACACCGCCAGGTCACGGCGATATCCCAACAGCGTCGCTGCATCAGCTACTGCAGGCTGATGCATCTCCAGTTCGTCTATCAGTCCCTTCAACTCACCAAAGAACTCAGGAACTGATCTATCTCCCTGTTTCAGTGCAAACAGTCGCTCATAGATCTCAAATACACGGGAAACATTCTTCTCATTCCCGTACATAATCTTCAGGCTGTCCCACATCTCCTTCGCAGTGGTTAAGAACATAACACTGCTACTGATCTGTGCTTCCATACTGTTTAGAAGCCAAGTCATAACACAATAATCAGACGATAGCCATGAACTGTAGGTAGGATCTGTAGTGAGGGGCGGAGATGCCAGAAGATGATTTAATTTGTTCTGAGCACCAATGAAAATACGAAAGGCATGTGCCCAAAGAAGATAGTTTGTGCCATTTAACTTTACCGTGGTTCCCAAAACCCTCATTCCCCCCCCCCCTTTTTTTTAATGAAACAAAAGGCAGTCGGCCTTTAAAAGATAAAAGAGGGCAGTTGACCTTCTTTATCTTCTTACCGACAAGGCTCTCCTCTCTGATCGTGTCTTCCGCCCACTTGTTGAGAAATATGCTGCAGACGAGGATGCTTAGGACGACGAGAACAAAGGGCAGGACGGTGGTGAGCGATCCGCTTGTCCTTTAGGGTTCCGATCAGTTTCTTCCCCTTTTTTTTTATGGCGGCGATGAGAACTAAAGGCAGGGCGGTGGTGAGCAGCTCGAAGAGACTCCGGCACCGTCGTCGAGGGTGGTGAAGTCTGGTTGCGGAGCGGAGGAGAGCAGAGAAGGTTAGTACTTTTTTTTTTTTTAAGAACAAGGGTTAGGGTTTGGAGGGTATCGCTCTGATACCATGTTGAATGATCAAAAACCCTAATCAATTGAGTCATTAAGATAGTTAAGAATACATATATATATGCATACAAGGAGGAGTATGGTTAACGGGTCACAGCCCATTAACCCAATACCCAATAAACTTATTCTAACAATTCTCTTATTTACTTTTCCTTCGTATTCATGTTCAGCGGCTTGAGTAAAGAAACAGATGAGAACATTCTCACAAAGATATCTAAAATCATCCTCTGTATATGTGACCAAGTCATTGATTATGCACCTCTATCAATTTTCAGATCTGTCCAACTCGTTTAGTTACTTCTTCTTAGGTGCTACCGTCACCAACTATGGTAGTTGAGTCTTTAGTAGGCACCACTTTAGCTTTCGCCTTGTTAGTTCAACCTCATCTCTGATTACAGATCATCCAACAAATAATTAAAAAAAAGGAGAGAAATTCAAATTCAGATTAGACGGAGATTGAAAGTAAAGGCTGCAAAAATAAAATAGTACAACCTTCACTTCGTGTCATCAAGATATTGACTTTTTCACTCCCCAAATCCAGGCACTTTAAGAGCAGCAATCCTGCAGGGCCCTCTCAATTTATTTAAGACAAAGGTGGCAAGAGCTTCCCGCTCAATGTCTTCAGCAATTGTCAAGATAAGATAACCACCCCTTGTGGCATCATCCAAAACATTGATCATATCTCTTGCATTTGTAATTTTCTTGTCAACAAGAAGACAACTGAAAAGAAAATTTGACGAAAAGATCAACTGACTTCATGTCAATAGTCATAAGAAAACATACATAAAAAATAATAAAACCATGTCACAACACCAATTTAAGAAGATCTTTAACAACAGACCTTGCCATTCTCATGTTCAACTGGTATCTTTTCACTGTCAGTTACGAAGTAGGGGCCCTAGGGGGAGATATAGCCATGATCAAATTACATTCCTTCTACCACATAGAGGTTCTTTTCTCCACATTTACCCTCATTGACTGTCACTACACACCTTACTCGTAGCCTTAACTACCATGTTCCTGATCTCGTAGTTGTTTCCAGTACTTACAGGCTACATCTGCTAGTGCTAGCTCTCTATCTACAACCTGAACCATCAAATTACAGAAGTTGGTAAAGCTTAAAAGTTTTGAAAACTACTTATGTTGTAAAACAAATTCACATTGAATAAAGTATCATGGACCGATAGCCATACATTTAACGGGGGAGGAGACAATTTCCACAAGACAAAAATAGTCAGTGCAGGATCCCTCTGCAGTTAACACCATCAAATTGGTAAAAAATAACAATAGATCATAGGGTCTTGAGTTTCAGATACTAAGAAAAAAATACCATCTTTGACAAGGGTCCATAATGGTTGGGTTCAACATCTTGGTGCACAATTCATAATGGCATTGATTATATATTTACAAAAACATCAAATGTTAAATGCAATAATAACATTACTAATGTACATTTCCCGCAATTGCTTTCAATCCGTATAAATATTGGAATTTTTTAATTTTATAAGATTCAAAATTTATCAGAATTAGGGTTTTGAGAAACATGAATCTAAAGACAAAAGGAAACGTTTAACAAAATTAGCAATAACCAACAGTATATAAAAAGAAAGGGAAAAGAGAGTGCAGTTACCAGAAAAGGATGCATGTATTCAACGCTGATGATAAACCCTAATTTCCCATGAGGCGAGCAAAGTATATGGATCGATAGCCAACAGTTTAATGGGGGAAGAAAATTTTCACGAGACAAAACAATAAGTACTACAGGATCCGTTTGCATTTAACACCATCAAACTGGTAAAACATAGCGGGCCCTCAAATCATCAAACTTAAGAATATTGAGATAACTAGGGCCCGTGAAGAAATTATAATAGGAGCGGAAGTCATTTCTTGGGTAAAGGCATCCTAAATAACGATTTTAAAAACCAAAGTCCCAAATCCTTCACAAATCTTTGGTTTCAGAAAGGAGAAGCATCCTTACTGGATAATTGCCATGCTCACTACCCCATCAGCACATCAATTTTGGATCAACAATTCAGACTTTGAGAACCCAAATCCGATTTCACTAGCTCGCAAAACTCATGATCTCTCACGAACTTTATAGTTAACAAGATAGGTATGGAGAGTTAGGAAGAGGAGCGTGTGTCTCAAATGGAAGCAGCTCTCCCAAAAAAATCAAATATCATCACACCAGAATGACCACACATCATAGGGTCTCGAGATTCGAATACCAAGAAGAAAACCATTCTTATGCAAAAGGGCCCACATGGGTCGGATTCAAACAGTTTGGGGCACAATTTCATACTGGCATTGATTATTTGCTTACAAAAATAAACCTTATCCGGGATAGGAAAGATCAAATGATCGGATGCAATGCAATAATACCATTACCAATGTATTCCCGCAATTGCTTTTCAATCAATATAAAAATTAGGGCTTTTTTTATAAGATTCCAATTTTATCAGAATTAGGGTTTTCAAGCAGCAAGAATCTCGAAGGCACTTAGCAAAATTAGTTGTAGACTACAGTACATAACGAGAAAGGGAAAGGGGAGTGCCGTTACCAGAAAAGAATGGGAGCACAGAACCCCGACGATAAACCCTAATTCCCAATGAGACGAGCAGTTATCGGTCAAAAATTACGATCACTGCCGTAGAATCCAAGCCCTAAAAAGAAACCAACACTGCAATGAGAAAGAGACCGCACTATTTGTAGCCCCTCGCTGCTGCTCTTTCGTCGCCTACGATCACTGCGGTGACGGTTGAAGGACCATCGCGGATTGCATATACAGGCCGAGAGTTGCTTAGGGGCTGTTTGTTTAAAATCCCAAAATTTATGGATATGAATGTCATCGTACAATTTGAAATCCATAAAATTTTTTGTGGGTTTTGGAATCTCTAAAATTTTGTTTGTTTCATCAATATTTTGGGATTTGGAATACTACAATTTATAATATTTTGTTTGTTACATTAATATTTTGGGATTTGGAATACTATAATTTGTAATTTATACGTATAATTTATTTTATGATATTTATTATATATTATTATACAATATCACATACTATAATATATATAATAGTACAACATATATATGATACCAGAAATTAGAAAGCGGTATAAAACAGAAAGAAAGTAAATACTTACAGAGTACGCTTGCCGATTCTCAAAACTATATCTTTATTAAGCTCCTCAATATTTTACAAGCACACTTACAACACTCTTACGATTACAGAAGAACACTCAACACTCTTACAATATTTTATTCTCACTTACAAGGCTTTCTCCAAAACTTACATACACACAGACTCGACTTCATATTTATAACTACCTTCAGATGCCTTCAGATGTTTTTAGAAAACTCGAGAGATGCTTCGTGGCACATCTTTGAAAGGTGATTAGTAACTTATCTTAATATATTAAACATTGATAGTGACTTCTTGATAGTGACCCTTCGTAAACGAGAAGCTTAGGATGCATAATTTGCAATAGTAGGAAACATTGGGGCCCATCTCATTAAGGAAGTATGACTTCTTCTTATTGCTTTTAAAGACTTTTTTATTAGTAGTAAATTCTAGATGGCTCCCCAGCGTACTCTGTAAGTATTTACTTTCTTTCTGTTTTTTACCGCTTTCTAATTTCTGGTATCAGAGCCATGTTTCTCTATTGCATGTCTGCTTAGATTTCATCTTGCAGTTTATCTATTAGTTATTAGCTTGTAAGAATGTAGAATATTTATATGTTCTTTTAATTCTCTGATTAAGAACTTAGTTTGAATGCTTATGGGACGTCAAAAAAGTCGCGCAGTGTAAACCCCGTTGTTGCCGGATAGGCTGTTTAGGGTAGTGTAAGTCGTTGACAGACGTGTAAGCTTTTAGCTAGGTTGTTTTTTAGAGAATAAAGAGAAAAATAAATATTCTGCCTCCTTACTAGTTAACTAATTAATAGATACAACTGTAAGAGAAAGATATGTCAGATCTTGCTGAAACATCGGTTCGTAAAGCCAGTTATACTGGCATGAAAAAGGTTAAAAATGCTCAGTTAACTGAATTTGAAACTGACCTAGAATCACTTAATAAGTGGACTATACCTGATGTTCCTAATAGAGACATCTATAAAATTGGGTTTTTAGACTATAAGTCTTTATTTAATATTAAAACCCTAGAAAGGACTACTACAGTTGATAGTGAAGAACAGACAATTCAACTGTTAGGAATTGCAGATGTTAATCCCTACCTGGACAAGTATAAATATATACATATTGGTTTAATTCAAATTGCTTTTAAACCTCTGACCTTATCTGGTCTTAATGCATCTTTATTAGTCTGCCTTAGAGACTCAAGATGTCTAAATTGGACTCAATCTTTAATGGGTATAATGGAAACTAGTCTGTGTAATGGACCGGTATATTTCAATGTTTATCCAAACTTAAGTTTATCTTTGTCTGATCCTAATATTCTAGACGCAATAAGTCTTAATATAAAGACTCATGGGTATAATTATGTACCTGGATCCGAAACTATTGCTATAATTTATAGGATCCATTATAAAGTATTAAATACTTTAGCTCCTAAAACAAAAATGTATTCTAAACCAGGTAAAACAGTTCTGGTTGAATCTAATGCTTTATCTTCTAATGTTGCTGTGAATAGACAGATAAAATGGGATGAAATAAATTTTCCCGAAAACTGGGTTATACCCAATGCAGTGCAACAATTACCTATTGTTAATCAAGATATTGATCAGATTATACAAACAACAGATGGAGAAGTCGAAATAACGTTTAATCCATCTAGATCTATTGGAATATCTGATATGGCATTATCTGCCAGAAATTCTTTGTCTCGGTCTGGATCTTATAGAACCAGTTCCGTTCAAGGAATTAATATTTCCGATAATAATATTCCTCATCCTTTATATAAGGATAAAAATTCTCCTCCTAATACGGAGATGAGCTTTAGAATGAAATGATGAATTTTGAAAAAGGAAGTTTAGAAAGGAAAATTCTAAATAAAGAGTTTTACCTAGAAAAACATCAAGATTTTAGAAAATGGTTTTTCAAAAATTTTTCAAAGAAAGACCAGTTAAACTGGGTAGATAAATATTATGCAGAACTTAAATTAAAACAAGAATTTAAGTTTTTTATTCCATGGTTTCTAAAACAGTATATCTGTAAACAAGAAACTCAAATAGGAGTTTTAGAAGATCATTTAAAACAATGGAAAACTACTACGGGTAAAATCATAAGGTCGGCATATCCTCCAATTGAGTCATTACAGCTAAAAGATGTACACCCTTCTACTATAGAGGCTGCGACTTTTATAAAGCCTAATGATCTTAATGAAGATCACATGAGAGAATTAAGTAGAATTATTAAACAAAATAATTATACTAATATTCATCTTCAAACAATAGGAGATCAACTTATAAAAATTGAAGATGTTTTAGAAAAATTATTAGCTAAAATTAATGATGTTACACCATCATTATTAGATAAGTCTAAAAGTTTTTCTAAAAAATTAGAACAAACCACTATTAAACCTCCAGTTGAAATTTCAGGATTTAAGAGAGATAGTGAAATAACCCCTGAATTTATATTTTTTTTAGCCACTAAATTAACCCATGCTAGAATTCACACGCTTAATGAAGCATCACCTTCTTTGGATATATCTGAAGAAGATAGTGAATCCGATAAATCGGATAGTTCTGGAGATATACCTCCAACAGAATTATTGGCTGTAGAGAATAACTTTACAGAAATAAATAAAATAAAAAATTATCCTAAGAAAAGACTGGAAAGGTACTATTATAAGCAACCTACTCCAGCAGATGTCTTATTTGAAGAAAATGATGCCTTTCTACAGGCAGATTATAATGGTAGACATATCTACGAATGGAATATAGATGGGTTATCCGATACCCAAGTTAATGCTACTATACATCGTATGTTAATGTATGGTACTATATGTAAACAAAATGGCAATACTGAGAGAAATATAGCCCTATTCATATCATGCGGC